ATGCGATAGTGAGAGATTTCAAACTCAAAGCATGTGTTGTGGATGATTCACACCTACTACCACCTTTTAGCTATGTTTGCGTGAAAGTTACAGCTACTTTGATTATTTGTTGTGGCCAATTTAAATTGGATGAACTTCACAAGGTAATTACTTTCTGAGAGTTTTATTAAAACCTCTTTAGTGGTTTTTTTAAGGTGTTTTACAAAAATTTACGCACAGACATGGGCAGAACGTTATCATTTCACCTTGAGCAATTCACACCAGCTGGACACGAGCGTGGAACCAGTTTGAACCGTCGTGAAGCTGCTACTTTGATCCTTTCAGTTAAAACAAGTCTTGAGTTCTTTGCCACTTTTAACACCGTTCGAACACCTTGATGTGTTTGAGCCAGCCCAACTGAGAACTGTCAGCTGTGTGCAGAAAAATAAATTATTTACACCCCCTTCCTTTTGACTTCAAAGAGCTGACAACATGCTCAACCCCAGATTTCAGTAAGGGGGTTGGAGGAGGAGTTGCCCGTCACTAAGCAACCTCAATGTCACCTGTCCCGACATGCCAGAGTCAGATCTGGAGGCTCCAGAAACAAAAGGAGCAGCCACACTGAAAAGCCTCCTCTGCAGGATTTGTTAGGAAAACTAAAATATCAAAGCCGAACTGTGCAGCTTCAAGAAAGAGGAACCTTTCTGTGATATTTTAGTTCTTTATGGAGGCAGGAACACTGTGAAATGAAACAAGTCAAGAACACAAGGTGACTGCTCAGCTAGAAAATCAGGAAGTTTGGCTGGAGCAACATGTCCACTCTGTGAAGCCGCTGCTGAGTGAGTTGCTGTTGGTTTAATCCCCTGCCAACACAAACCCTCACAAGGTTAATGCAAAGCATGCAAAATAAAAAGAAGAAAAAAAACAACTTGCTTGTTAAAGTCAGCAAGCTCAAACAAGAGTGTTCTTCACAGAGCAGTCACACGTACGGAAATGTTCCCTCTGACGACAACAGATCCCTTCATTTATCATCTAAAACACTCATTTTTTCCTCTCTTTGTTGCTCAACGGCAACGTCAGAGCAATAATGTTTTGTTTGTCTGTACCATTATCAAGTATCTTGTGCGCAAGTGGAAAGATTTGAATCAAACTCAAAAAACGTAATCACTGGATGAAAATCTACCAAGTCTGATCCCAAATGTATAAGCCAGGGGTCTGCAACCTGCGGATCTGGAGCCACATGCGGCTCTTTGGTTCCTCCGCATCGGCTCTTTCAAGCTTTGACCAAAACTAGCATGAACAGAATTGTATTGGTTGTTATACAAACACTACAAAAGTACTAGTTTTAGCTGTTTTCCTGTCATTTATTTTGCACATACTCACTTTAACTTTTTGCTTTATTTCTCTACTTTATTTTTTCCACAATTAGAAAAATATTCACACAAGTCTGCATAGTTCTTAGTTCATAGTTTGTTTGTTTTTTTTTAACAATTTTTCCCCCTATTGACAAGAATCTGGTCTTTTCATTTGTCGTAAATTGTAAAAGTATCAGTAAATGTTAAAAATCATTATATATTTTTAGCTTTATAATGTCACCCCTGGCCGCAAAAGTCTCCTCCAACAAACCTAAAGTGGCCCATGGGCCACCAGTTGATAATCAGTTGTAGCAGGTTGTTGCAACTCTGGACACGTTTAATTTAGTGAATAAATTTTAACAATGACTCTTGATCATAACGGTTGCAGACCTCTGGTATAAGCTAAGTGCTAACGGACACAAAAAATGTTTTTAAAATGTTGCCTTTTACTATTAGTTTGTTTGTTAGTAAAATATTTTACAGACCACTCGATGGATTTTTAATACAGCTTTCAGAACATTGTCACTGGATGTACATCTACAAGTGATTACAGTAAATTAAAAATATTTTTAAATGGCAGCTGAATCCATGTGACCTTCAAAAAAAGCTATATTGTGCAAAACCCTGGTGTGGTTGTAGCTGTGAGTCATTTATGACACATACCATGAATGAAGTTGTGCAAGATGGATGTCTAAGTCTTCAAACTTTTGTCTCTGTTCGCTAAATATTTCGCAAACTGGATGGATTTTAATGAAACTTTAGGAAAATAATCATTTTATGTATATCCACAAGTGATTAACTTTTGAACTCAATCCACAGCTACTTGACCTTTGCCAACAGAAAAAAAAAATGGGTCTAAGTTACTCAAAATGGAAGCTATTGAAGATAATAGGATAAAGAATGTTTGTGTGGTAAAAGCCAGACACATACTCTGAAATAATTAGAACGTTAATATGAAACAAAATGTGTGATATGCATCAATGCTAAGCCCTTCAGGTTGCTTGTTTTGAGTTTCCCTCACTGCTGTTGTGACATAAAATGAACGAGCGCACTAATAGTTTTAGAATTTCACAACCCTTTAGATCACCTGACTGTCGGTCGTTAACACCATCGGCGTTTCGACTAAAACCCACCAACGCACTACAGGTGAAAGCAAACGGATCCCAATGAGCAGAGATGGGGCGTAAATCTTTCAGCGCTCTCCTGACTCCACACTGATACGGAGGTATCCCCGTTAACCTGTTTGATCAGGCCGTGCATGGATTCTATGCAAGTGTGCATACGTCTAAAGGTCTGGCCATGCGTGACAACTGCAAATGACAACCTATCCATCACTGGAGCCAGGGCCAGAGATTAACACAAGCTCAGGCTTGGCACCAGCTGGACCGGAGCCTGGAAAGAGAAAACTAGACAGCACTCAATATGGACCTGTAAACGTCCAGTTCTTTGGCTTGAGCGATGCAAGGCGAAATGCATTCACCATGCCACGCTTGTTGTTCACTGAAGGGTTTCAATGGAGTCCTGTAAGTTTGGTGGGAAAACCCCAGAGAGAAAAAAAAATAAAAAATCCCCAAGAAGTAGCTGAAGAAAATCCCTCCAGCTAATTTCTAATACGCTCAAGAGATCTTTACACTGTCTCTGACTTTTTCCTTTTCTCTCTGTCGAACCATCAGAATGTGGCTTTTGTTCTCTGACTTATAAAGAAAACGTCAAGCCGCCGCAGGAAGACACACGTCGTCTCGAGCAGTTGCTGTGGGTGGGCTGAAAACGAGAGAGCAAGAAAAAAAAAAACCAGAGGTAACTGTAAACGTCCCACCCTGCTTAGCCTGCGTCTAGACCACGGCTTCGGTGAGGTGAGCAGCAGTCATAACAAGGGACTGGGAAAGCAAACACGATTGTTTGCCATAGCTAACCATTCGTCTATAGAGTTACAATCAAAGGAACGCTATAGTTAATTTAATTGTGGCACAACAAGGAGCGCCCAGTGTACAATTATGAGATATATGAGGAGACAGTGTATTAGCTGTGTGCCAGCATGCCATGTGCCACACAAACCACCTCACCAGATTGACGCTGGGCAAAGGATTCACAACCGTCACTTAGCACCGTGCCAAAGCTGCTGGCCTACTTATGAGCCACTCTCGTCAGCGTAATGCTCAGGAAGCGCACGCACTCTCACGCTAGTCATCATTCTTTGAAACAAACCCTGCTTTTAGTCAAATATATTTCCATTTGGACCATTAGTGACACCACATTTCAAACTGGGCCCATTGGCCACTGCTACAAGTGGATAATTGAGCCGAAGGGACGGGGGAGTGCGCTCTAAGAGCCGAGCTGACTTAAAAATTGAGCAATCAGCTAGAACTATTTTTACAACGCCGCTCTCATTTGCCCCTAGTTACTCATGATGCTGCTAAAGATGCCTTTGTTGACAATGTGGAAAGCCAACTGTGTTGATGGCATTCCCAACATGACCTCAATCAAGTTTTCACAGCCCGGAGTCACAAAACAATTCTACAGCTCTGCCACCACAGAGACATCTCTTCGCCCTTTTGTTGTCATTATGAACGCAAATATATTGAGAAAATTGTTTTATTTTCATCAACTGGCAAAGGCGCAGTCTGGGGAACGTTTTGAAATAGACTTAATCATTTGTTGAGTCAGTGCTAAAAGCCAAAAGTCCTCTGTGTGAGCTTTATTTGAGTTAGGATTTGGAAATCTAAAGTGAAGTAAACCCCATCTAGGGAAGTATTTTTTTCCCCCACATTCTACAAGCAGAGCTTTTCACTCAGAACATTTTGTTAATTAAATCTTGCTTTTGCATGCTTCAACTGACATTTCCCCCCTTTTTTTAATGACGTGGTGACATTTAAGCGGTTAATACTTGCAAAAACAATTCAATTTAGATTATGCAACATTCCAGATCAGGTGTTTAGTGGCAAATACAGCTCTCTTGTTGCTAACCAGCAAAAAAATAAATAAATCAAACGCCACTATTTGTATTCTTGTCAGGGGCAAGAATATAGCGATAGCAGTTAATGGGAAACTCAGCAAAACTAAAGTGCACATTGTTTACGAATAGGGAATCTATTTAAATATTCCTATTCATGACTTGGAAGAAAAAGGGGAGATTTCCCTTCACCAGGAGGTTAATGTAAAGATCGCCTCAGGGAAGAGCTATACAATGAATGGAAATTCAGGCCACACTTCTATTCAGGCCATTTTTATTGATCCTCAAACCCCTTTCACAAAGAAAACCCCCATCTCAACCACAAAAAAAAGGGAACAATATAAACAACCAATAAATTAAAAAAAGTCTGCGTGATTAAGGCAGTTCTACATCTCCATTAGAACACAACAGTGTTGACATGTCGGAGTTATACAGCTTCATACAGTACAAGCAGGAATAGTTTGAGATCACACCTAAAAAAAACTTTAAAAAAAAAAAAGGGGCAGCACTTTACCAAAAGTGAACCGCTTTTTTTTTGTTTTTGTAATTCTGGATGACACAACGTTGTACTTTTTGTGGTTCAAAAATTAAAAAGCAATTGTTCCTTTAGATGACATTGTTTTCTCAGCTAATTTTATTACAAAGCCAAACAGAATAGGGAAAAAAAAAATGTATATATGAGCAGAGAACTTAAAATTTAAATTTTTTCTCAAACCTGCTCGCAAAAAAAAAAAAAAGATTATAAAAACCACTTGAATCCCAAAACAGAAAAGGTGGTTTATCTGTATATCAGTTTTCTCAGATAGGAATAAATAAATACACCTGTTTACTGGTAAACTGTCAGAGTCCAGACTTAGAGGCTACATAGTGTCATAGAAGTGTTCAGAGTGGCTTTTTTTATTTTTATTTTTTTAAGGAATTTAAGCATTTCTTTATTACATTCATGTCCAGAAAATACTAGACGAGAAAGTAGGCTTTAAAGCCAACCAGACTCTAGTCACTAACGGACACATGAGACTTGAGAACTGTGTTTGCTGTGGACATCCAGAGTCCTCTTCTGTGCACGCTGCACTGCAACTTTAGATGAGCAGCACAGGTCCGTGCTCAAAACACAAAACCCCAAAAAGAGATGGCCTGTCTTCATCCGTCCTGGACAATTCTTACTTCGTGTTCTCCGTTTTGCGTCCCGCTTCGAAGTAAGATCCTTTCAGCAGCTAACAGTGCTGGGCTGCTGTTTGCTAACAAAGTCTGAGATGAAGTCAAACTCATTCTGGCCCAGGAAGAGTTCTGGTAGCTCCTGAACCCGGTCCAAGCCCAGCTCCATGACTAGTGATGTCAGGACATCCTCATCAATCATGTCCGCGTCCATGCCATTCAGGGCTAGCGCAGGCCCAGCCATGTGCTGCATGCTAGCCAGTTGAGCTGGGTTCATGCGGTACTGTGTTGCGGGACCCATGTGGTTCCCGCCCATAGGGCCCAGCGGGTGTCCATGGTACTGGGTGTTGAGTTTCTGCAGCTGCATGCTGGCCATGAGCTGCTGAGACGTTAACCCTCCATTCATGAACTGTTGCTGCTGCTGCTGCTGTGGGTGCGGCGCCTGCTGCTGGTGTTGTTGTGGATGCATGTGATGCTGCTGCTGAGGGTGGTGCTGCTGCTGCTGCTGCTGCTGCTGAGCTTGCCCATTATACATCATGTTACCAGAGGTCATCTGGTGGTGGGCCATCTGAGCCCCGTTGAGCTGTCCGTTCATCGGCCCGCCCACCATGCCCTGCCGCTGCCTCATGGCGGTCTCCAGGTTGGCCTGGGTACCTCCATAATGCATCATCTGGCCGTTGGGAAGTGCACGCATGCCCTGCTGGTTGGCATGCTGCTGGTGACCTGCCTGCAGGCCGCCATTCATGCCCATCCTGTAACCGTGGAGACTGGCGCCTGCTGAGCTGTGATTCATGGGCATCATCAGATGATCTGCCATGTCTCCTGTGTTTGGGCACAAAGCAGAAACCGTTACGATAAAAAGTAACAGGCAAGATTTATTATTATTTTTTTTATATATATATATAAATCAAGCACATAACTTCTTCTCTGAACCCAGCTGGTGTAACTGAACACTTGTGACATTTCATTGATTTTTACTCAGATTTCTCAGTTAGTCGAGACTTTTTGTAAACAGACAATCTTCATCACAAGGAACACAGAAAAAAGAGGAAGCAAGTTTCCTTTAAATGCAGCCGTCCTGCCTCAGGTTAAACTGAAACTGCTTCTAAAACATAAAAAAAACCTTTCTGGTCGTTATGTCTGCTGGAAACACAAACTGGTCCTCCAAAAAATAAAAAATAAAATCTCCCCTCTTTGTGTAAAACGCCCAGGTTGAAATTCCAGGTTAATACACACAGAGAACCTTTATTTAACTCGTTAATTCATGCACGATAAGATCATGGGGGGGGGGGGGGGGGGTCCCTGTTTGAATCGTGTTTAAATCCCTGTGATGCTGCGCGGCGGCTCAGGTGCAAAGATCTGCTACAATTGTTTTTTTCCTACGTAAGGTTGCAACAAAGACCACTGACATCATGCAACATCTCCCCAACAGCTGAATCACCACAATACTAACAAGACGAGCGCGCGCGTCCCTCCGCACGCGACGCCTCAACGTTCGTGTTCGTCGCGAGCGTTTAAAACGCAGCGAGGCGAACCGTTTGGCCATTTTCGACTTTGAAACAAGGAAAAACGCAAACAATGGAGGAGCAGCGGCGGCGGCAGGAGCCCCCGAGACCACAGCGGAGCACCCCCACCACCTCCACTCTCCCTGCTCCTTCTCCCAACAAATACAAACGCGAATAAAAATGGCTCACCCGTTTCTGCTACGTTTTCACAAAGTTGCGCGACTTTGCTGGGGCTCCGTCCGTTTCGTTTTTCTGTCGAAACAGTTTTTGTTTGTTTTCTCCTCCGCGAGGGCGAAGCTCCTCCTGAATTACAGCACGTACTCCACGGGGTTACGCTTCATGCTCGAGCGAGGCCGCGCGCACACAAAAGACTACCGCATGAGATCTTGAAACGACTGCCTATTTTCTGGGTCAACTCCGGGATTATGTACATGTGAAGAGCTCACAGAGGAAGGCAGGCGGGGAGGGGGCGGAGCCTCGGCCCTGCCGCTTCTTTGTTCCTATTGGCCCTACTTCGTGCAACTGTGCAGGGGCGTAGACAATAGGTGGCCGTTCAAGAGCTGAGACACAGCAGGCCCCCAACCGCACTGTTTCTGCCTGAACGATGGGATTCATAAAACCACTTCCACAATAGATAGATAGATAGATAGATAGATAGATAGATAGATAGATAGATA